TTTTTTTTTTTTTTTTTTTTGGTCTCCGCTGGTGCCTCTCCTTGTGTCAATGCAGTTGAGAGTCTGGCATGCCATTTGCACAGTGGCTGTGACTGCTTCTATAGAGACTAGCTGCTTTTGTGGCAGCCATGGCAATTGTGGTGGCTATGGTGGGCTACCTGTGTGGAAATGGTGTTACTGGTGTGCTCTTTACCTGGGTGCAGGTGGATTCGGCTTCCCCCGGCTCTATGCCTCAGGCCCTGATGGAGTCCTGGGGCAGCAGCAGCAGCAGCTTGCCTAGTTGCAACTGGGTTCATCTTCCCCCACCTCCAAGCCTCATTTTAAGATGTTGTTGCAGAACAGCTGGTGGAGAGGGTATGGAGTGAAGAGGAGGAAAATAGGGTGGGAAGAGGAGAAAGGAGAGGGAGCGTGATCAAGGCCCATGGGACCCCCCCCCCCAATTTTGGTGGGAGAGACCGGGGACTTCCAGTGGCTCGGTGGTCATCGCTGGGCTGGTTACAGATGTCAGGGGGGTGTGGCTGAGGCCCTAGGCCCCCACTGCCCTAGCTGGGGAGCCCAGGCCACCACCAGCAGTGGCTTGGTGGTTGTCGGTGGGCTGGTTGCAGTTGGGGAGGCACAGCTGAAGCCCTCGGCCCCCCACCATCCCAGCTTGGGAGCCTGGGGTGCTTCCTGCTGTGACTCAATTATTATCATTGGGATGGTTGTGGATGTTGGGGGAGGAGGTGTGGCTGAGGCCACTGGCCCCCCACTACCCCAGCTTGGTAGCCCAGGGCGCTTCCTGTGATGGCTTGGTGGTCGTCCCTGGGCTGGTTGCGGATGTCAGGGGGGCATGGCCCTTCTTGCTTGCCCGGCTTGGGAGCCCAGGGGGTTTCCAATCCTAGGTTTTATAGGTGTTCTTCAGTGGCGTTAGACCTTTTCTAGTTAATATCAAACTTTGCCTCTGGTCTGTGGGTATTTTGTTTTTTCTTTCAGTTCTGTGTTGGATTATTCACTGTTCCCACCACTTAAACTGTGCACTGGAACTAATCTGTTGTCCTTTGCTTACTTCTAAAATGGAGGAACTTCCTGTGGGGACCAGTATTTGAGCCCTGTAGTTGAGCTAATCTAAACTGCTTCATTGCTGATGACTGCCTGGGGAAGGGTTTTTGTGCAGCTCAGGTTTTAATAGTTGACCTTGTGTATGTACTTCTGGGTCTTGTGATGTCCAGTACACCTGGGTTGTGTGGAAACTCTGGTCTGGGCCTGAGTCTTTTCAGCAAACTGTACCCCCTGCTATTCTATATTCCTGACCAGTCTCCACTGAGTGGTCCTACACTGACTGGGGGACAGATCAGCTGTCCATACTATACCTCAATGTTCCCCTGGTGGGCCTGTCTCCCCTACTGCCTGTACTCCAAACACTTCCCATGGGACAGGCCATGTGCCAGTCCCCTGCGATAACTCACCGGCCTCTGAGTGGCTCCTTTTTTCTGTTGTCTGTGGCTCCTCGTTTCTATGTGGGTCCATGGGAACCCTGTTAGTGGTCTTGTTGGCCTGGGGCCACCAATGCCTTCTTCTCCCCTGCCACCTCCAAGCAACTTCATGTGAAAGGCACAGCTGTGGCTTTTGACAGCTCTTGCTCCATGTGCTCACCATCTCCAGGCTTGAAGCAGCTGGGGCTCGAAATGGTGGGAACGATCCTTTCTTTCTCACTGTGGCTTCTCCTGCCCTCATGAACTACATAGGTCTCTCCTCCTCTTCCCCTGAGCTCTAGCGGCCCAGCTTGGCTGTCATTGCTTTTTTTTTTTTTGTCCTTTTTGTGACTGGCTGCACTGCGCTCAGCCAGTGAGCACACCGGCCATCCCTATATAGGATCTGAACCCGCGGCGGGAGCGCTGCCGTGCTCCCAGCGCCGCACTCTCCTGAGTGCGCCACGGGCTCGGCCCTCATGGCTTTTTAATAGTCGTAAATTGGTTGATTTGTGGGAGGAGTGACTCAGGGAACCGTCTATTCCACCATCTTGATGTGAAGCCAAAATTGACCATTTTAAAGTGTACACAGTTCAGTATATTTTAATATATTCACAAAGGTGTATGATAATCACTATCTAGTTCCAGAACATTTTCATCACCCCTAAAAGAAACCTGGTAATTGTTAGCAGTCACTCCCCATTCTCCTCTCCCTGCAGACCCTGGCAACCACTAATCTACTTTTTGTCTCTATATCCCTGTAGATTTGCCTATTCTGGGCATGTCATATAAATGGGATCATGCAATATGTGGCCTTCTGTGTCTGGCTTCTTTCACTTAGAATAATCTTTTCAATATTCACCCATATCTTAGCATGTATCAGTGCTTCATTATTCTTTTTTAATTAACAAACTTTATTTTTTAGAGCAGTTTTAGGTTAACAGCAAAATTGAGTAGAAGGTACAGAGAGTTCCCATATACCTATCTCCACAAAAAACACTTT